TAGTTGGCCGCATGGGCTGGGTGGGCGCTGGCGCACATTCGGTCTGGTGACCGCACGACGGCCGCTTCCCTGCGCGGTCCAGGTCGGAGGGTCCAGTCGTTGTGGCGGATGCGCTCAAGGTTTTCCACCCGCGTGGCATGGAAGAAGACGCCATGCTGGCATGCGCGCTCGGATGGCTCCGCGACGTTCCAGGTAGCCCATGGGAAAATTGTGTAATTTCATGTAGCGACATCCTCCCTGACCCACGTGATCCCGTTGACCTGCTGCTGAATCAGTGACTCGAGGAGCTCAAAGATGTGGGTCGTGGGGTTTGGGTCGCTGAGGTCTCCTTTCGGGCCTCGCCGCTGTGCTTGATAGATGTCGCCCGTGTTTTCCACTGGCGTCTCTGGCCCATCCTCTATCAGTGATCGTGTCGTGGAGTAGGCCTAGTACCAGGGGTGCTCGGCGGTCCCTTATGAGGCCCTTTGCCATCCTGCTGGACGTACGCGGAAGAGGCCAGGTGACTGGTAGCTGCGCTGGGTCCAGCAACGTGTGTCAAACCGCAGCGGTGGCTGGCGGCCTCGGAGCCGGCTCTGTGCTCGTGGGTTCCGCTCTGTCGACCTTGCCGACGGGGCTGGTGCCTCTACGGTCTTGGCGCCGGTTGTGGTTTCGGCTGCGGCTGCGCGGTCTGTTGCCCTTGGCAGCCGCCCGCCTCCATGGTGGCCTAAGTCTGGTAATGGGGGCCCCGTTTGTGTTGAAGGCGGCTGCTAACAGAGAGACCTTTGCTGGCTGGCTCCACACTAGGATGTGTGTGGAGATCAGCCGAAGGGTCACTAGCTTCGGTGACCGTATTGACCCATGGTTCTCTGCCGCAGCATCTTCGGATCCATGCTCCCATGTGCCCGTATCCTAGGCACCACTCGCCCGTACTGACGTTGGTAGTGTCGCCGCTTTCGCGGAGCATAGCTCTCCCTTGGGAGCAAGGGGGGTGGCCTCGGAGGGCCTCCTTGGGCCATCCCTGGGGCCTGCGGGAGGGGGGAGGGGGCGAGAGGAGGAAGTGGAGGAGGAGGGGGACGCAAACCGCCTCTTGGGCCCTCGTGGGACGCTCTTGGGGCCCTCGTAGGGCTCTCTTGGGCCCCTCTTGGGAGCCCTGTAGGGCCTCTCGGGGCCATCTTGGAGGGTGTCGATCAAAGGAGGGGGGGGTCCTAGATTCCCGTCCACACCCTGGGGCCATCAAAGTCGCCTGTTGGGGTCCTCTTGGGCGCTCTTAGGTTGCTCTTGGGCGCTCTTAGGGCCGCCTGGGGGGCTTCTTGGGCCCCTCTTGGGTCTCTCTTGGGCCATCTCGGGGCCATCTTGAGGCCTCGGAAGCGAAAAGGCGAGAAGTCGAACTTCAGTTACTTTCAATAGGGTGTTGAAGGATTTTAGCCTCTTGGGGGATCCTGACAGGGGGCTCCGAGAGAACTTGGAATCGTCTTGTGGCCCTCGTCAGGCCTTTTGGAGGTTTGTCGGAACCTATCTTGAACCGTCTTCGGCTATCTCGAGCCGCCTTGGATGCCATCTTGGAGCATCGGAGGCCCTCTTGGAGCCATCTTTGGCCATCTTGGACGCTCTACCCCCTCGCGGCCCGCCCCAAGAAACCTCAGGGCGGGGAGGGGGGAGAGCGCCCCTCCCCAAAGGGACGAGGGTTTTTGGACGAGGAGAGGAAGACATCGCTAGACCGCCTCAGCCCGAAGGGCTGGGGTGATTTCGCTGCTGCGTCGGCCCCGGCGGTGCTGTCCTCCCACCACGGCTCCGCGCGAAGAGGGCCGAACGCCGGCCCTGATCTTCAAGAGGGCGCCCCCTTGAAGTTCACGACGGTCCCGAGGACGGCCGCTGCGGCCGAGCCCGCCTCGGATGGACTCGGTGTCCTCCGTCTCCTCCGCGCGGGCGCGCCTGCCATCCGCCGTGGCCGCTGGCGCAGCAGCTGCGGCTTGGGCGCGTTCTGGCCGCGCTGGCCGCGGCCTCTCCCTGCGGCCTGCTCACTTGACCGTCTGGGCTGTCCGTCCGTCCTTGCCCGGCCGCGTGCAGCGGCCGCGCGATGGCTCCAGGTCTCACAGGTGGGATCCGAGCAGATGGGGTCGGAGAATCGCGGCGCATCGCCGATGCACCGCCGATGCGGCTCGATGTGGGGCCGGATTTTCTCCACGCCCTCGGCGCCGATGCATTGTCGACGTCACCGGTGCCTCGTCGATGCATCGGCGATGTGGCGCGATCCTCCTACCCCATGTAGGAGGCCTCTACTGGAGCCAGCGTCGCGCGGTTGCGCCCCGCAGCAGCTTGGAAGGCGGACTGCAGCTCGAGACTGCCCTCCGCTGCCACCTCGCCGAGGCCCGAAGGCTGGATCCCACCGCTGATGATGATGATGATGATGATGATGATGATGATGATGATGATGATGATGTTGATGTTGATGTTGATGTTGATGATGTTGATGATGTTGATGATGATGCTGATGCTGATGATGATGATGATTATGATGATGATTTCGTCGTGAGCGCTAGGCCTGGGCCTTTCGCGTGTCTTTGGTGGCTCTCTGGGACTCTCTCTACCCCAGAAGTACCCTTGGTGGCACAGCGGGTTGAGCCTACGCGCAGCATTACGGACGCGAGCAGCGTTACGGCCACCTCGCCGAGGCCCCGCCCCTCGGCCGTGGCCGGGCGCAGCTCGCCGCCGCGGCCGCCAGCGTGCTGCACGCTGTGCGGGCCTTGCGCGGCTGCCCGCGCGGCACGGGCGGAGGCCGCCGCTGGGCCCGTCGGAGCGAAGCCCAGCCCTCCGCACCCAGGCCGCGCGCGCGCAGCCCACGGGGAGGACCCGTGCCAACACGGCATCCGAAGGTGGCGGCTGGCATTGGTCGCATTTTTGTCCGTGGAGGTTCCACCAACGGCTGCGTGGCCGTCGCCTCGAGGGAGTGGTTGCCTTCGCCGTCCGAGGCCTCTGGAGTCCCCAACCGGGCCCTGCCCCCCCCCCCAAATGCAAACATGGCATCCGAAGATGGGGGAGGTGGAGCCCTGAGGTCCTGGCGTCTCAATGTTGGTCGAGCCGGGCGTTTTCGCCTTTCTCTGTGTGGGGTCCCTGGGCCCTCGCAGATCGATCCAGCTCGAAAAAGGGCGCAGAAGGACGGCGTCCCGGGCTCCGGGCGTGATCTTCTCACCACGCTGCCGTGTTGCCGCTGCACGTCGGATCTGCAGGGACGGAGGAGGGAGCGCGGGGGACGCGCAGGCGGGGCAGGCGGGGCGCACGCGGAGAGGGGCCGCAGCGGGGCCCGGCCGCGTGCGGACTGCGGCCGCCCGCGCGGCCGTTCCCGGGCTCGCCTCGGCTCCTCGCCGGCTGCCCCGCCCCGCTCCTGCGCCCTGCTTGCCAGCCTCGAACGCAGATCCCTATCCCCAAGACTGACACGCCAGAAGGCGATGTGATAATCTGAGGGATCCGCCCTCAAAGAATAAAAGGGAGTCCCTGAGATTGACATCGTGATGAGGAGGTGCCCAGCATATCACCACCCACCAAACCACCCCAACCCAACCCGAAGGCTCAGATTTACCCTCGATTTCCAGTGGGGGGGGGGTCGGGAAACATAGAAAAAACACAAATACCCCGAAATTCGGGTCTTCGGGTTGGGTGGGGGTGGTCTGGTAGGTAGTCAGCATAGGGATTAGGGATATGTTCCAGGCTGGTAGCCTGCTGCGCGAGCGGCCCGCCGCGCGGCGCGGGCCCCGGCGGCGCCCCGCCATGGGGCGCCGCCCCGCGGAGGGCGCGGCCGCGCGGCGCCGCGCGCGCGCGGCAGCGGCGGCCGCGGCCTGGGCGTGCCTGGCGGCGGCCGCCGCGGCCGCGCGGCTCGGGCCCCCGGCAGGGCTCGTTTCGACTCCTCCGATTCGATTCGATTCGATTTCGATGGCTTCCGATTCCGATTCGGTTCGATTTCGGATTCCGATTCGGATTCGGATTTCTCAATGGAGGCCTACTAGCCTGCCGATTTCTGCCGATCCGACTTCTCCCGACGTGGCTGCCGATTTCCGCCGATCCGATTCGTTTCGATCGCCGATCCGACTTATCGATTCGATTATGGGCTCTCCTGCCCGAGGGCGGGGGCACCGTCTTCAGGAGGGAAAAAACCACACAGACAATTATTCGTCGATTCCCAGAACATATATAGGACAATGGGGGAATTGGGCGGGAAGGCAAAAAAAACCCAGAAAGTATAGGAAAACATGGGGACTCGGCTTATTTGTGTGCATTTATTTGTGTGTCCCAGGGCCCCTTCACGTCTATATACCAACGAGGTCTGCGGCGTTCGTTACGTTTTTTCTGTTTTGTCGTCTCGCCGAGTCTGACCGCGGCATCGTTTCGTTTTCGTGCTCGTGTTGCACCCGTATCGTTTTGAGCTTTCGTTTTCAAGGGTTCGGGTCCGTATTGTTTTGCGTTCCGGACGCAAGCGCCTTTCAAACATCGTTGTGGTCGGTCCTTGTCTACACCGATCCTGGCCAGGCCGATCCGGGGCCCAATATCGGTGCATATGTGCAGTTTGGCCCGCCAGCAGGGCGTCCAGTCAATCCGCAGAGTAAGGATGAGCGGCTTTCCAAGGTTACACCCTTGCATCCTTCCCCTTCGGCCCATCCCTGTCTCCTCTCGCTGGCCGCGCCCCGCTCGCCAAGTGTCGACATGGCCTTCCGAGGCCCTTGCATCCTTATCGTGCGCCCTCATTCTGCGGGTTGACTTTGGGGGGAGGAGAGGGAGAAGGGGGGAGGGCTCCTCCTCCTCCTCCTCCTCCTCCTCCTCCTCCTCCTCCTCCTCCTCCTCCTCCTCCTCCTCGATCCCGGGCCCAGCATGAGGCTGGCCAGGACCGGTGCAGGCGCACAGCCGGCGCCCTGCCAGGCCCCGCGCCTCGGGCCGCGCCGGCGCGGGCGCCGCCGCGGGAGCGGGCGCGTTCGCGCAGCCCCGCCGACGGGGCCGCGAGGGCGCGCCGCACGCGCCGCCCCCCTCGGAGGCGGCCGGCGGCCGGCGCGCGCTGCTCCTGGCGGCGCCGGGCGCGGGGGCGCTGCGCCCGTGGGGGGGGGGCGCTCGGCATCGCTCGCGCGCGTGGGCTTTTTTTTGTTCGGCGGAAGGAAGACGCACCTCAATGCTCCTCGATGCTCGCCGAGAAACAGCCCACGCATCCTCGATGCTCCTCGATGCTCCTCGCCGAGGAGCATCGCCGAGCATGTGGTGCGTGCTCTCCTCATCGTGTGGGACGTGGAGTTCGAGCATGTGGTGGGAGGAGCACGCACCACACCGAAGAGCGCACGGGGAGTGGACGTGCGAGCGATGGCAAGGCAACGGGTCCTGAAGGAAACGGGTCCGGAGGTTTTTCGCGGTCTTCGGCCTCTCGGGGCGCTCCACGGGCCAGGGGGCCGTCAGAAAGCAACTCGGGAGGAGGATCTCGTTTTGGGGGGAAGGCCCCCGGGTCCAGGACCCGTTTCCCTCAGGACCCGCTCTCCCCATGCCAAGGCGTTGTGCGCTGGGGTGCGGGGCGCGGTGGCGGAGGCCCCGCAGCCTGCGAGGCGCAGTATCGTTTAACCTGTCCCCATCTCTCGAAGAGGACGAATTGGCATACTCCAGGTTTCGTAATAAAGGGAGGGGGTTCTCATTTCGGGGGGGGGGTCTCTTCCAGGCTATCTTGGAGGGCCTGGGGGGTCTGGAGACGATGTTTTGGAGGGTTCTCCCACGGGGGAGGTCTGAAATGGCTTGTCTTGAAGGGTCCAGACCCCCTCCCTTGTATTACGAAATCTGGAGTAACCATACTCTTTGGCGTTCCCTGCGGAGTTCTAGGATCGGCGCTGGGGCCCCCCTGCAGCGCCTCCCGCGGCGCCCCCTGGACCGCTCCGCGCGCCCGGGAGAGGGGCCCAGCGCGGATCCATCGGGAGGGGAAAAAGCACACAGACACAAATTAATCGTCGATCCCTCGGAAAATATGGGAAAACAGGGGGGAAGTGGGGGAAGACAAGCACCAGGAAAGATGGGAAAATATGGGGAGCCCTGTTATTTGTGTGTGTGTGTGTGTGTGTGTTTGTTTGTGTGTCCCAGGGCCCCGTCAATCCAAGAAGTCTTAAGATGATGTTCAGAGGCCCATGGGCGCGCCTCCGGACGGCGTGTTCCGCACGCAGCGCCGGCCGCCGGAGATCCCGGTGGCGACGGCGGTGATCCTGCTGCGGACGACGTCGGAGGTCGCGGTGGCCGAAGGCATCTTCACCGAGGCCAAGATCCAGGCCGCTTTGTTCAAGGAGCGGATGGCCGGGTTCGAGGCCTTCAAGGAGCGCTACCAGAACTACGACCTCGGCGGCCTCTTCGACCAGCGGTTCTTCTCACAGAAAGACCCTCGGACCATTCGCTTCTATTGAGAGAGCGCTCCGCGGCCACTGCCTGTCTTCTCTCACGTTTTGAGTCGGCACGCGCCCAGGATTGGCGTGGGTGGGCACGGGAGGGGATGCCTGGACCCCACGCGCCTTCATCCTTGGCGGGCGGGCGGGTCGCAATGCTCCATGCACTCTGCTAGCCGCGTGTAGGAGTCGTGCGGGACGAAGTGGAAAGAATTCAGGTGTTTTTTTGTTGGTGTATGCTCCCCCCGCTGTCCCTGAAAACCCCTGGCAGTGGAACTACTCTCTTAGGGCAGCGGCCTGTACAATATGAGATACCGCTCTGCGCTGATTGCAGTACGCGCATATTGAAAGCGCCTTAGACGCTATGCTAATGTGCCTCGATATGCCGATTCCTCGAAATCGGCACAACAATCACTGCGAACGTTTCGATCGTGTGGGCAAGTCTTCTGCATCATGTCGGGGGCCGTCTGTAGGCTCAGGGTCCCTTCTCCGTGGGCCTCGCGATTGTCGTGGGCGGATGTTTGCCGTCTCCGTCGCTCGGAGGGCGCAAGACGGTGGTATCGAATGCTTGGGAGCTTGTTCGGGGAAGCATGATGACCGCCCGCGTGCGGTTCCCCCACCCAGTGCAGCGTTCCGTGGCCCCATAGGGAGCTCCACCGAAGGCCCCAGTGGCACCGCCCGCATGCGTCTCCCCCACCCACTACAGCGTTTCGCGGCCCCCCCATTGGGAGCTCCACCGAAGGCCCCAGTGGCTCCGCCCGCATGCGTTTCCACCGCCCATTACGGCATGCCCCTCACGCGTTTCGTGGTCCACCGTGAGCGGCACCCACAACGCGTTGCTCACAACGCGTCTTTCGGCAGGATAACTGTTTTTGGTCGGGGGCATCCGACGGAGCTTTCTTCTTCGTTTGTGTGCCATCCCAGACGCCTATTTGGCTGTCTCGGATGTTTCCTCGGCCATCCATCTTGGAACCTCTCTGGCCCACCATGGGGAGCATTGTGGCTTCCTGGAGCCGTCTTGAGACCATCCTGGAGTGCAATGGTTCTCGCACAGGGGCTTGCCAGGCGTTGATGCCAGTCCTGGGGCGACCACGGCCGAATCTCCAGTCGGGCCACCGGGGCGCCTCGCACGCCCGAGCCAGCAGGCAGAGCACCCCTGCTCTTGGCTGCGGGGTCCAGCACACCACTGGCTTGCTGGCCGGCGGACTTCGATTACCTGGTCGGCTGTCAATTCCGAATCCTCAGCCGAAAGATTCCGCGAAAAGAGGCGCGGGCGCGCTTTACCAGGAAGCTCGGTGAAACGCTGTACCGCAAGATACTTGCGGGCGACGTCGTGGGGCCGAGAGTTTGGGTGGGTGATGACGAGACTGGGTCGCTAGGCGATGTGAACATGTCCTCGCCATTCTCTGGCACATGGCCTGCCATCAGCACCCTGCCTCAACGTGCGCAATCTGCAGAGGAGCTCAGGAAGGGTGCCCAGGCACTCTTGCGGTACCTGGCGGAGCAGCAGTACTGTGCGGGGGGGGACCTTTCTGCCTTCCAGTCCAGCAGCGATGGAGCTGTGGTAGAGTTTACCAGCTACGTGCGGGAGCCTGCGAACTTCGAGTCCACAGTCTCGCTGATGCGGGACAACGATCTTTTCGCGCCCCGATTCGACCAGCGGATTTTAGAGGCCTACTTTGAGGACAGCGGCTACCTGTGCACTTCCACCGACGAGGTCGCCGGCGACGGCGAGGGTGCGGGCCCGGCTCGGGGCATCCGCACCAGGTGGAAGCTGAAGCTCGACCAGGACGACTAGGGCTGCCCTCGCACCAGGGCCCTAAGGAAAGGGCCATTGCGAACCAGAGGACTGCTCCCCACCCGACATGTTGGGGCTCTGCGAGGTGCCAAGGGAAGAGCTCCCAACCCGCCGCGCACACCCTGCATACCGCGGCCACCAGGCCCCAAGCATGCCGGCGCTCCCGGGGGATCCCGCCCCCTGCGGCGGCGAGCGAGGGGGGGAATCGAGAGGGAGAAGGCCTCCGCACAAGGCGGCGGGGCTCCTCGGGAGCCCTCGCGGCTCCTGCGAAGTTATCTGTGTCTTCGGGGAAGGCATATGTACAGTGAGCGGCTTGAATAAGGAACACTTACTTTTCAAAAGGGGCTCGGTCGTTCCTTAGGTTTACATGCGTTATTTACAGTTCCTTATGCGTTATTTATTATTCATCGTTCCTTATGCGTTATTCCTTGGGGTAAAAAAGGGGCTTCGTTCCTTATTTATCGTTCCTTAGGTCAGGCCGATGACTGTAAGACAACTTCTCAGAGTGCCCAGGGGACTTCGGAGCCTTCCGAGAAGGTCCGCCCCCTCTCACTTCCCCCCGGGCTCGCCGCCGACCCACGGCTTCGATGAATGACGGCTGCCTGCCGAGGCCGCCAGGCCCCAAGGGTGCCGGTGCTCTTTGGGGATCCCGCCTCGCGTTCGTGGATCGCTCGAGCCAAGTTATATCCACCGCCAGGACATGTCCGCGTCCACCGCTTCGGAGCCGTGCCCTGGGATCTCGAGGAGCGGTGGGTATGGATATCTGCCCGCCCGCGTTGGCGGGCAGATATCCATACCGATAGGAACACCCTACGGGTGATAAGGAGGTTTGGGGGGGGGGGGAAGGGGGAGGCGGTCGATGTGCGATGACTCCCCCCTGCCGCCACCAAAGAGTGCGCGGGCAAGTCAATACCACCTACTTCCGGTTGCTTCTATCTAACTGATATATCTATCGACCTCTCTGTCGGGTCAACCGTCGGGACAACATCGGGTCAACCATCGGGACAACCATCGGGACAACCATCGGGACAACCATCGGGACAACCATCGGGACAACGATCGGGACCACCATCGGGACAACCATCGGGACAACCATCGGTACAACCACGGGACAACCACGGGACAACCGCGGGACAACCGCGGGACACGCGCTCGCCCGCTGGGGCGGGGGGGGGGGCGCGGCCTTTTGGGCTTCATGTGGCCTCTACCAGTGCAGGAACTCGCGCAACTTCGCCTCGCCCTCACGCACGCACGAAACCGAAACAGATTTCCCGGTTCGGGTCACTTCTGTTCATTCCCACCAACCTCTAATCTCTAATCTATCTACCTGTCATTCGATCTACCTCAGCTTCTCTATGCATATATCTATGTATCTCTCTATCAATATGTCTATCCATTTACCAATATGTCTATCCATGTATCTATCTATCTCTGTATCCACCCTCACGAATCCACCATCGGCCAACCTTCGGGACAACCATCGGGACAACCATCGGGAAAACCATCGGGACAACCATCGGGACAACCTTCGGGACAACCATCGGGACAACCATCGGGACAACCATCGGGCACACCATCGTGTCAACCATCGGGACAACCATCGGGACAACCATCGGGACAACCATCGGGACAACCATCGGTACAACCATCGGGCACTCATCGGCACACCCATCGAGACAACCATCGGGACAACCATCGGGACAACACCATCGTGACAACACCATCGGGCCAACCGTCGGTACAACCATCGGGACAACCATCGGGACACCCATCGGGACAATCGTCAGGACAACCATCGGGACCATCGGGGCACCCATCGGGACAATCATCGGGACAACCATCAGGACAACCATCGGGCACACCGTCGGGTCAACCATCGGGACAACCATCGGGACAACCATCGGGACACCCATCGGCACAACCATCGGGACAACCATCGGGACAACCACCATCGGGCACAGTGTCGGGACAACCATCGGGCACACCATCGGGTCAACCGTCGGGACAACCATCGGGACAACCGTCAGGACAACTGTCGGGACAACCATCGGACACCCATCGGGACGCCCATCGGGACAACCATCGGGACAACCATCGGGACAACGCCATCGGGGCAACACAATCAGGACCACCATCGGGACAACCATCGAGACAAACATCGGGACACCCATCGGAACATCCATCGGGACAACCATAGGATCAACCATCGGGACAACCGTCGGGACAACCGTCGGGACAGCCATCGGGCCAACCGTCGGGACAACCATCGGGGCAACTATCTGGACAACCATCGGGACAACCATCGGGACAACCGTCGGGACAACCATCGGGACAACCATCGGGACAACCATCAAGACAACCCGCGGGACAACCATCGGGGGCTGCGCCGGGCCGGGGGGGGCGGGAGGCCAGGCGACCTTTTAGGCTCCATGTGGCCTACAACTGCAGGAACTCGCGCAGCTTCGCCGCGCCCGCACGCAAGGCACGAACCGAAACCGAAACCGATTTCCTGGTTGGGGTCACTTCCGTTCACACCCCCGAGCTGCCGATCTATTTATTCATCGATCTATCGATGTATCTATATTAATGGCCTCCGGCCAGTGCCGCCGATCTGGGGGATCCGGATTCGGTGATCTTCGCGGCTCTGCGGCCTCCTCCCTCCTCGATTCTTCCGGTCCCCTTTCTTCTCCCTAGTTCTCCCGGTCCCGCTGAGCGGTCCCGGGGGGGGCTGGGGAGGGTTCGGAGGGGAGGGTCCTGGGGGCGGTAGCGGCTAGATCTGAGGGGGTCTTTGCCCCCGAAACATTTTGGGGATGCGCATATCATTAAGAAAACGCCAGATGGGGGATCGCCCCCCCTCCCCTCCCCCCCTTCCCCGGCAGAGCTACTCCGGCGACCTCCGCAAGCAGAATCTGAGGGGGTCCTTGGGCCCCCCCGAAACATATTGGGGATACGCAAATCATTCAGAAAACGCCAGATGGGGGACTGCCCCCCCCCCTCCCCCCTTTCCCAGCAGAGCCATCCTGGCGACCCCCCCCAAGAAGAGCTGAAGCTCTTGCTTAGGCTCAGAGCTGAAGCTCTTGCTGAGGCTCCTTGTAGTTCACACGCCGGATCGGCGGAGATCTATCCATCTATCCATCTATCTCTGTAACCACACTAAGGTATCCACCATCGGGACACCATCGGGCCAACTATCGGGACCAACCATCGGGACAACCATCGGGACAACCTTTGACACAACCATCGGGACAACCATCGGGACAACCACCATCGGGACAACCATCGGGACAGCCATCGGGACAACCGTCGGGGGAACCATCGAGTCAACCATCGGGCACACCATCGGGACAACCGTTGGGACAACCATGGGGACAACCGTCGGGGCAAACATTGGGACAACCATCGGGACAACCGTCGGGACAACCATCGGGCACATCATCGGGTCACCCATCGGGATAACCATCGCGACACCCATCGGGACAACCATCGGGACAACCATCGGACAACCATTGGGACAACCGTCGGGACAACCATCGGGACGACACCATCGGGACAACGCCATCGGGACAACACCATCGGAACCACCATCGGGACAACCGTCGGGACAACACGATCGGGACAACCGTCGGGACAACCATCGGGACAACCATCGGGGTAACCATCGGAACAATCATTGGTACAACCATCGAGCACACCATCGGGTTAACCATCAGGACAAACATCGGGACAAGTATCGGGACACCCGTCGGGACAACCATCGGGACAACCACCATCGGGCACACCATCGGGTCAACAGTCGGGACAATCATCGGGACAACCATCGGGACAACCGTTGGGACAACCATCGGGACAACCAGCGGACACCCATCGGGACACCCATCGGGACAACCGTCGGGGGAACTATCGGGACAACCACCATCGGGGCAACACCATCGGGACAACACCATCGGGACAACTGTCGAGACAACCAACGGGACACCCATCGGGACACCCATCGGGACAACCGTCGGGGGAACCATCGGGACAACCACCATCGGGACAACACCATCGGGACAACACCATCGGGACAACCGTCGGGACACCCGTAGGGACAACCATCGGGACAACCATCGGGACAATCATCGGGACAATCATCAGGACGACCATCGGGACAATCATCGGGACAACCATCGGGACAACCATCGGGACAACTATCGGGACAACCATCGGGACAACCATCGGGACATTTATCGGGACAACCATCGGGACAACCATCGGGACAACCCGCGGGACAACCCGCGGGACAACCATCGGGGGCCGCGCCGGGCCAGGTGGGGGGGGGGCGGGGGCGGGCGGGGTTCCTTTTGGGCTCCACGTGGCATCTACAAGTGCAGGAACTCGAGCAGCTTCGCCTCGCCCGCACGCGCGACACGAACCGAAACCGAAACTGATTCCCGGTTGGGGTCACTTCCGCTCACACCTCCCAACCTCCGATCCGCAGCTCCCCGAGTCCTCGAACACGACCCAGCAGCAGTGGATATGGTCATATTTTGGCGGCGCAGCTCGAATTCAGATAATCAATGTTTCTGCACACGGTTGCTGGTTTCTTGGGCGCGCCAACGTCCTGGTTCATCAATGTGCCCGTTCACGGGCCCAGGATCGCAATCGCCGGTGAGATGCACCCGCAGATCTCTCAAAGCAGGGCATGGGGCGGGCTTGGATGAGGTCGCAGCGCTTGCAGGGTTTGAGATCAGGTGCCAAAACAGCGGGAAGGATGAGGAGGAGGAGGAGAAGGAGGAGGAGGCGGAGGAGGCGGAGGAGGCGGAGGCGAGGGACGAGGAGCAACAGTTGTAATGGTATTAGAAGGAGTCGGCGGCGGATGACTGGACGGCACCCGTTGCTACACTGAAGCTGACACGCCGTTTCAAAGGCTCTTGCATCTTCCCCCGCAGTCAGCCAGCGCAGTACGGGGACAGCACCCACGTCCCCTGGTTCCTCTTACGAGCCCCAAGAGTTCCTGCTGGTGCTCCTCCCCCCCCAAAAAAATCAGACCCCCGGAGGATCCTCACATGCCTCCAGTCCAGAGGCGCCTCCTGAGGCGCCAAAGCTGACAGCAACATCCAAAAGCTCGAAAAGAAAAGGCAGACAGCACCTCACTCCTCGAACTTGGAGGAGGGTTTACTGCAATATCGTTGATGCTTCTCGGGTTTGCCCTGGTCCTTTTCCTCCTCCTCCTCCTCCTCCGCCACCTCGTCCTCCTCCTCCTCCTCCTCCTCCTCCTCCTCCTCCTCCTCCCCTTCCTTCCCCTTCCCGCCTCCCCTCCTCCCCCTTCCCTCCTCTCCCTCTTCCTACTCTTCCCTGTCTTCCTCCTCTTCCTACTTCTCCTCCTCCTCCTCCTCCGCCACCTCGTCCTCCTCCTCCTTCTCCTCCTCTCCTCCTCCACCTCCCTTTCCTTCCCCTCCCTCCTACCCCTCTTCCTCCTCGCCCTCCTCCTCCTGCGCAGCCGTGCTGGCTCGGGCGCCTTGTGCCCGGGCGCGCCCGCCCCGGTGCCGCGGCGCGCTGCCCGGTCGAACGGGGCTGCAGCGCTGCGGCCTCCGAGCGTGCGGTCGGCGGAGCGGGCCCTCCCTCCTGCGCCTCTGCTTGTTCCCCCTGTGCGATGGTTCGTTATGTCCATCTCCTTATGATTCTTCTTGTTCTCAGTGTTAGTAGTATCATCGGTCGTATGAATCGTCTTGTGTCTGTGATCGTGCGTAGTATTCATTATGATTGGTAACTATAGCATTGTATGGAATATTAACTGTCCATTGTGGTTTATGGTATGACTTCTATCGTTGTTAAGAGCAGTAGTAGTAGTAGTAGTAGTAGTAGTAGTCGTAGTAGTCGTAGTCGTAGTAGTCGTAGTAGTAGTCGTAGTAGTAGTCGTAGTAGTAGTAGTAGTAGTAGTAGTAGTAGTAGTAGTAGTAGTAGTAGTAGTAATAGTAGTAGTGGTAGTAGTAGAAGAAGTAGAAGTAGTAGAAGTAGTAGTCGTAGTAGTAGTAGTAGTAGTAGTAGTAGTCGTAGTCGTAGTCGTAGTCGTACTCGTAGTAGTAGTCGTAGTCGTAGTCGTAGTCGTAGTCGCAGTCGTAGTCGTAGTTGTAGTAGTAGTAGTAGTAGTAGTAGTA